AGATAGAGATAAAAATAGATACAAATGGATAAATATGGGTGGATGGGTGGATAGATAGATAGCTTGTTTCCCTTTCGCATCTCATGTTAAAGAGATCTTTGGGTCTCCAGTTCTGCTCGAAGATTTTTTCCCCACCTCCCTTGTGGCTCAATTAAGTGGATTATTGTCTTCCTACGTAGAAAAATCAACTTGCTTGTCGGCTCTGAAACCTGCCACAAGGATGTTTGAGCATAAAGCCTCTTGTCACCCCCCACCCACCCACCCAACGGAGGTAAAGCGAGTAGGCTGCCATTCAAGAGAGTTTGCGTTCGCACAAACAAGCCCACTCTCTCTTTAGAGGGAGAGAAACAGCAGGTGAGGAAAAACCTCACACGCACAAACACACAAGAGATGGACGCAGCCTGGACTAGCCAACCATCTAGCTGGTTGGTGTCCCCGGTCCAAACCGGATTAAAGGAAAACCAGTTTCTATCTCCAAGTTGCAGCAGGGAGAAAATTGTGAACTCCAAAACTGAGGAGGAGAATCCGAGAAGATAAAGGCTGAATCTCATTCCCTCCTATCTAGAAAATCTGTTTTCTTTAAAACACAACGAGGAAAGCTTGTTTCCTACTTAAGAATATAGAAATACACGCTCCAGGGCTGGAAAATTATTTTTCCTGCTTCGTCTTGCATGGAGGAAAATATTTCTACTTTTTCCCAGAAGAAACAAGGAAGGTTTTTCACCTGGCTGCTTGTGCCTGACTTTTTCCAGAATTGTCATTCATGTTTGGTTATCGTTTTATTCTAGTAAGAAAAGTGAAGAGCCTTTGCTTGGAAAATTATCCGTTTTGATCCTTCCCTTGGGACAAAATTGTGCTGATTTAAAGAAACGATCTTGCCAAGGATATTCCAAGATTAACACAGACATAATTTAGCTTGCAGAATTATTAGAGAGATAACCCATCTTTTTTTTTTTTTTTGCAAGAATTCCAGAATATAATACTGTAATAATGACATTGATCATCTTGCTCATTTTCTAAGGTGGCAGAAACTAGATTTAACACAATTCAGGCTAGTTTTATGGAAAACAATGATGATTTGTTAGAAATGATTACTGGTGGAAGGGACAACGATTTTGACAAATCTCTTTAGAACTGGAGAGGTCTCTGCACCAATGAACTCTAGATATTTTCAAGATAAAATGTTAAAAATGGGATGAAGCAAAGGATTCTTATTTTCATAGCTAAGTTGTCTCCAAGGATGCCCACATCTCAACATGCCCCCTTGGTCTCCTCCAGAAATGAGTTCATGAATCACAAGGAAGCCTTTGGAAAGCAAAACAACGTGTGAAATGAATGGAGACCCACATCTCAAGAAGGAGGAGGAGAAGGATGGGAAGGAGAGAAGGATGGGAAAGATGGAAGGCGTGGAAAGGAGAAAAGAAGGAGAGAAGATAAGAAGGAGGAGGAGGAGGAGGAGGAGAGGAAGAGGAAGAGGAAGAGGAAAAAGAAAAAGAAGAAGAAGAAAAAAAAAAAAAAAGA